TAACATTGTTGACCATGTTTTGCACAATTTATTTCGTTAAACATCCCACGTTTTATGAAGATTTCATGTTATAAAACTTACAGAGTCAAAACCTGTGGAACTCACCAACAATTTTTGTAGACGTATTTTAAAAATGTGTATTCTTAGGTAACTATGGAGTCGGAGGTAGGACATCGGTTCTAAGGAAATTATAGTTCCTTTTTTTTGGGAATAATCTTGAACTGTTTTTATTTACTGTTGTGTGTTTAAACTATGAATATGTAATTTCAATTCCAACACTTTAAGGTTTGTAATATATTGATTTAAATATATTAAGTGTTCGATATATGTGGTTGACTGTGATCCAATTGTTATAACGTCGCAACCCCGACGCTTTCCGCCGTCGGTCGGGGTGTGACAGATTGGTATCAGAGCTAACGACTATAGAGAACTTAGTATTTTATTTTTAAGAAAAATACAACTATAGTCTAGGGCTTACTCTAGTAGGTTTAAGAAATATCCTTATCCTACAACACTTTAAAGTTAAGAATCTAATAAACTTAAACACAAGGATTTAGATCAAATACTCAATTAGGTTTCTTAAAACATACGTCATACCATGACTAAACCTAGATGTGCACCTAAGTTTTATTTTGGTCGGGCCTCATGGATTATCCAACCTAAGCGAAGTAGTTGATAAGCTATAAACTTGGCGTTTTACAAGTAAAAGTATGATCACAAGTCAATAAAAGTCGATAGGACTTTCTTTTATTTATATGTGTAAATTTTGTGTAACATATTTGAAATACTAAATAGTTCTTCGTTTAGATGGATGATTTATGGAGATCAATCATGCCACCAGCAGACGAGCCTATGTTTCCTATGCTACCGGGAGATCCCTATTTCCCGACTATGCATCCGTGTACCAACCCATTTCTCTAGCTGAACATGCATCGATGCAATCTGATGAGTTCGAGCCTGAAGAAGATCCAGATGAGGATCCGGAAGAGGATCCAGAAGAGGAGATGGAGGAGGAACCTAAGGATGATCCCGAAAAAGATATGGATGAAGATGAGGTAATAGTAATAACCGATTCAGAGTCATCCGCTTCAATTCCACCTTCTGCCAGCCGCTCTTTCCTTGGATTTTCGCTCCGCCGTTCCAGAAAAACCGCTAGGATTTCGGTCCCAAAACCCGTTACTATAAAATATAACTTGAGGTCCCCTCGCACCAAAAAGACAATGGAACCACCTGTTTCGGAAAGCAACCATGAGAACCAGAGGACGGCTGGAAAGCGGACGGCAGGAACATTTGAAGAAGGACAAGCATCTCGAGCTGCACCTACATCTGACATGGACATTGACAAATTGTCCTTCCTACTTGAGCAGAACGTCCGATTGCACGGACAAATGTGGCACGTCAGTGACGAACTAAGCAACATGCAAGGTCAATCCATAAAAACGAAGGAAGAAATGGCTCGAATGAATCAACGACAAGAGCAGTATCAGATCTTGCAAGACAATCTATGTCAAGAGATGGACTACCGCCATAACAGCTGGACTTATTTCGATTCAAGAGTAACCGATGTGGAAACTCAAAACCAAATTGCATTTTCAGTGGCATACGGAGTAAAGGAGAGTCATGCTATGCTAGAAGAAAAACACGAATCACTAGAGGAAAAACATAAAATACTAGAAGAAAAATATGATGACATGTCCCCCTCGGTGGACAAAATTTTTAGTTTTTATAAAACTAATTAGTCGAGTTTTCGAGAAACTTGCAAATTTTGGGTAACAAACTTTTTGGATATGTGTTTGGATATGTAAGCATATGTAAACTTTATTTGTTTATTAGTTGGTCTTTGTACCACTAATCGTAAGTATTTACATTTTGAGAATGGTAAAGACTAATGTACTCGGATGTTAATGTTTAATATAATGAAACATATGTTATTAAGTTTAAAAATATATATATATTTGAACTATTATATAAATCATGAATCATGAATAATAACATTATGTGAAAACTAACAAAAACATCACAAACTTAACCTTTACTACTAAATGAATTAGGAAATCAAAATGCCTCCAAGAAGGAACACCAGAGCAAACCCCGAAGTAACACCAACTACCGAACCAGCTATAGGACGAACCCAGAGAGGTCGGCCAGCCAGAAGGCCGGTTGTGACTCCAGTAACAGAAACGCCAACTTCTAGCGCTCCAATTCCACCACCTCCCGAGTCAGGACTTCCTCAAACTACAGCAGAATTGGAACAACTAGTTTCAGAACGCATTACTATTGCAATGGCAACTGCGAGGAGTTTGAATGATGGAAGACAAGTCGTAGAAGTGAATGGACTGGGAAACGGAGCTGGAAGCACTCTGCACTCACATCCTGAAGAGCCTAGAAGAACTTGTTCCTACAAGGACTTCATGAGTTGAAAGCCAAGAAACTTTTATGGCAACGAAGGCGTTGTTGGTTTAACTCGTTGGTTTGAAAAAGTTGAATCTGTTTTTGACATATGCTACTGCTCTGAGGGTAGCAAAATGCCGTTTGCTGCATGCACCCTGATGGATGGAGCTCTAACATGGTGGACTGACCATGTAAAAACCTTGGGTATCTCGGTGGCCAACTCAATGTCATGGGAGAGCATGAAAGAACTTTTAATAGAGGAATACTGCCCCCGAGAAGAAGTACAGAGCCTAGAACATGAGCTTTGGAACCTAAATATGAAAGGTTCTGAAGTCAAGAGTTACACAACAAGGTTTAATCATCTTACACTCCTCTGTCCAGGCATGGTGAAACTAGAATGCAAGAAAGTGGAGCGTTATATATGGGGCCTGGCTCCAAAAATAAAAGGAATGGTACTTTCATCAAAACCTACCACATATCTCAATGCTATACGTCTAGCTATGCAATTGATCAAGAACGAAATCGAAAATGGAGTAATGGTAAAGGAAGTTGAAACTCCAAAGGTTAGCAACAACCACCATAAACGCAAGTTCAATGGAGCGAAGCAGAACCAACAGAAAAAGCCTCAAAATGAAAAGGTATATGCTATGGTACCAGCCCCAGTTCCAATCCAACAAGTTCCAATCCAACAAAAGGGTTACATTGGGAATATGCCCTTATGCAATCAATGCAACCGACACCACAATGGAGAATGTTTCCATTGTGCCAAATGCAATAAGAAAGGTCATACGACAAACTTTTATCGGGGAATGGCAATAGTTGCTGCAGTACCAGGAAGGGGTAATGGATCGGATTTTAGTGGAGGAGGAGCTTGTTTTGAATGTGGAGAAAAAGGGCACATCAAGCGAAATTGCCCAAAGTTGAAGAAGGGCGATGGGAGTGCTCGTGGTCGGGCTTTCGTGATAGGGAACAAAGATGCCATACAAGATCCATCGGTGGTTACTGGTACGTTCCTCATCAATAACTTGTATGCTACAATTCTATTTGACTCCGGTGCCGATAGAAGTTTTATAACTCCATCATTTAAAGAACTATTAAATCACGAGTCTAGTAAATTAGACGTAGCATACGAAGTAGAAGTAGCAAACGGTCAGATAGAAAACACCACCGAAATCTTACGAAATTGCCTCTTAACTTTGAACGACCACACATTCTATGTCAACTTAATGCCAATGAATATTGGGAGTTTCGACATCATTATCGGCATGGATTGGTTGTCTCTGCATCATGCTGAAATTCTTTGTTTCGAAAAAGCTGTACGGCTAACTCTACCTAACGAAGAGACCATGATAATCTACGGCGACAAGTCGGGTCAAAACTTGAAGCTTATTTCTTGCACTAAGGCTCAAAAATATCTACACAAGAAGTATTATGCCTTCTTGGCGCACGTAGTAGACACGAAGAGCAAGACGAAAGAAATCAAAGACATACCTCACGTATGCGAATACCCCGATGTATTTCCTGAAGATCTGCCTGGATTGCCACCAAGTCGTAGTGTCGAGTTCCGAATTGATTTAATTCCGGGAGCAAATCCAGTAGCGAGATCTCCTTATAGATTGGCACCTTCGGAAATGCAAGAGCTTTCAAGTCAACTGCAAGAACTACTCGACAAGGGTTTTATCAGACCAAGCTTCTCACCTTGGGGAGCATCGGTCTTATTCGTCAAGAAGAAAGATGGTTCTTTTAGGATGTGTATAGATTATCGGGAGTTGAACAAACTGACAGTCAAGAACCGTTATCCACTCCCTAGAATAGATGACCTGTTTGATCAACTCCAGGGATCTAGTTTCTATTCGAAGATAGATCTAAGATCTGGATATCATCAGCTAAAAGTATTAGAAGTAGATGTTCCGAAAACTGCATTTAGAACTTGATACGGTCACTATGAGTTTCTAGTTATGCCCTTCGGACTGACCAATGCTCCAGCTGTATTCATGGATCTCATGAATCATGTATGCAAACCATACTTAGATAAGTTCATTATAGTGTTTATCGACGACATTCTAATCTATTCACGAACTAAAGAGGAACACGGCCAACATCTGAAATTGATCTTGGAACTGCTAAGAAAGGAAAAGTTGTACGAAAAATTCTCTAAATGTGAATTTTGGATTAGAGAGGTACATTTCCTAGGGCATGTAGTGAGCAACAGAGGAATACATGTGGATCCCACAAAAATCAAAGCGGTTAAGAATTGGGATGCACCAAGAACGCCAACCGAAGTGCGACAATTCTTAGGCCTTGCTGGCTACTATAGAAGATTCATAGAGAATTTTTCCAAGATAGCCAAGCCACTCACTGCATTAACACAAAAAGAAATAAAGTTCGACTGGGGAGATAAGCAGGAAGTTGCATTCCAAAAGTTGAAACAGATGTTGTGTAGCGCACCAATCCTATCCTTACCTATGCGAACCGAAGATTTTGTCGTATACTGTGATGCGTCAATTCAAGGATTGGGGTGTGTTTTAATGCAAAGAGAGAAGGTTATTGCATATGCTTCACGACAACTCAAATTCCATGAAAACAACTACACAACCCACGACCTAGAATTGGGAGCAGTAGTCTTTGCCTTGAAGATTTGGAGACATTACTTATATGGAACGAAATGTATCATTTTTACCGACCATAAGAGTCTCCAACACATATTTGATCAAAAAGAACTAAATATGAGGCAAAGAAGATGGATTGATTTATTGAATGATTACGAATGTGAGATTCGGTATCATCCTGGAAAAGCAAATGTTGTAGCTGATGCTTTAAGTCGTAAAGAGCATAAGAAACCGCGACGAGTAAAAGCGCTAACTATGACCATCCATTCAAACCTTAATACCCGTATTCGTGAAGCTCAACTAGATGCTCTGAAAGAGGAGAATGTTGGAGAAGAAGCTTTACGGGGAATGGATAAACATTTTGAGCTTAAGGACGATAGAACTCGTTATTTCTTGAACAGAATCTGGACACCAAAGTTTGGTAACAATAGGAGCTTAGTCATGGACGAAGCTCACAGATCAAGATATTCCGTACATCCTGGCTCCGACAAGAAGTATTTAGATCTGAAGAAGTTATATTGGTGGCCTAATATGAAGGCTGAGATTGCCACTTATGTGGGCAAATGCTTGACTTGCTCTAAAGTCAAGGCAGAGCATCAAAAGCCCTCGGGATTACTGCAACAACCGGAGATTCCCGAGTGGAAATGGGAGCAAATTGCAATGGACTTTATCACAAAGTTGCCCAAGTCTCCTAGTGGTTATGACACAATTTGGGTAGTGGTTGATAGATTAACTAAGTCTGCCCATTTCCTACCAATCAAGGAAATTGACAAAATGGAAAAGTTGACGAGAACATATCTCAGGGAAATTGTCAAGCTTCATGGAGTGCCAACCTCTATTATCTCGGATAGAGATAGTAGGTTCACATCAAGGTTCTGGCAATCACTTCACAAATCCCTGGGAACTCGCTTGGATATGAGCACAACTTACCACCCACAGACAGATGGTCAAAGTGAACGAACCATTCAGACCCTAGAAGATATGCTATGTTCTTGTGTAATTGACTTTGGAAATTCTTAGTATACTCATCTACCGTTGATTGAGTTTTCCTATAATAATAGTTATCACACCAGCCTGAAAGCAGCACCATTCGAAGCTTTATACGGACGCAAATGTCGATCGCATATATGTTGGGTAGAGGTCGGGGATACCCAACTGCCCGAGCACACACAAATGACACTCTGCGTACTGGGCCAGAGATAATCCATGAAACGACCGAGAAAATCATTCAAATCAAGGATCGACTTAAGGCAGTGCGTGAACGTCAGAAAAGTTATGCTGATATAAGGCGTAAACCTCTAGAATTCCAAGTTGGAGATCTAGTGATGCTAAAAGTCTCGCCTTGGAAGGGTATGATTCGTTTTGGAAAACGAGGAAAGCTTAACCCAAGATACATTGGACCTTTTGAAATCCTTGACAGAATTGGTCCTGTAGCTTATCGACTAAAGCTACCTCAAGAACTGAGCAAAGTACACGACGTATTCCATGTATCCAACCTGAAAAAGTGTCTGTCCGACGAAACCAATGTAATACCTCTCGATGAGATACAACTAAACACAAAACTCCACTTCGTTGAAGAACCTGTGGAAATTATGGATCGAGAAGTAAAACGTTTAAAACAAAGTCGTATTCCTATTGTGAAAGTTCGTTGGAACTCTCAGCGAGGACCAGAATTTACCTGGGAACGCGAAGATCAAATGAAAAATAAATACCCCCAATTGTTTGGTGATATCACGTCT